GGGGCCCCCCGAAACCCCCTCCCCCCGCCGGGCCCCGCTTAGCCCTCTCGGTCGGCCCGGCCCGCGGGTGCGCCGGGTGCCTGCGGAGCGCAAGCCTAGGGAGCCAGCCCCGGCCGCCGGGCGGTGCGGGGTTCTGGCCCGGCCGAGCCGCTCCGGTGCTCCCGCCCAGTAGGGGCTGGCGCTTGTCTTAGGCGGCCGCCTGGCCTCCCTGCGACCGATCCTTCGCCTGGATTCACAGGCTGTCCCCGGTCATTCCCTTGCAGTTCCACAAACTCAGGAGTTAGGAAATGCTCAGCATTTAGGAGCGTTTGTGAGTGAGCGGGACTCTGCACACACTTGCCCTAAGTCTGTTTCTTCGTTAAGGGCACAGGCTTCTTAGAGCGCGTTTTTCCTGTAACGCGCTGCAAATCCTTTCGGAAATTGAGAAAATATCCACCAGATAATACGAACTTCACTTCTATTCACTGTAACCGTAGTAGTGTTTCCGTGCAGTACTTGAAAGTCTTTGTCGTTTTGTTGCCATTGTTTTGTTTCTACCTGTTTCATTACCACTTCCTAAAGTATAAATGGAAAATTCACATCTTAGTGACATAGAAATTGCCAAAATATCAGAAAAGATCCGAATCAAACACGTTTTCAGTGATGCTGTAGTACAAAGTGTGACCAAAAAAAAGGCGGGGGGAGAAAAAGAAAACCTGAGGCAAAACAAAGCTAAAGATATTATCTGGGCCAGAGTTAGGAGGAGACCCTGAAGGTAACAAAGTCCAGGTTGCCCCAAGTAATGTGAAATTAATTTCAGGATGATTTTAATGCCAAAAGTAGGAAGCAGCAAGAAGTCTGTATAGCAGTGATTGGCTAAGTTTTATAATAAGGGAAATGGGATGACCTCATGATCACCTAGAATCACTTTAAGAAAGTGGAGACAGTGAACCTGGAAGGTGGAGGAATGAATGTATTTGAGCAATAAGGATGTTCATGAAACACGAAGTCCAAAGAATTTAGGTAGCATCTAAAACTATTTCAGTCGCATATTCCTAAGAAAACCACAGAGTGTGCATAAGCTTTAGTCTTTATAAACTGAGCACTAACTTAGGTAACGTCGAATCTCCTGTTTGGGAGGGAAAACTGGTCTGTTTGGGGACTCTATGAATCAGTTTGAAGTTTCAATTTGATGTGACATTATAACCTGAGTGACTCCATTTTGGTCTGGTCTGTTGGGGCCTAGAGAAGGAGCCTATTCCAAAACAATGGCCTTCTAACTTTTCTTTTTTTTAAGAAGAATTATATAAACATAATTTACGTCTTTAGTAAGAGAAAAAAGTAGGACACTGGGTAAGGCTGCCTCCTTTTCATGCATTCCAAAAGCAGAAACAATCCTACCACAAAGCAAACTAAGCCTAATATAATTATACTGTATCCCCAAAATGTCAGGATTGAATTGACCAAGCAAAAACTTTGAATTAAGTTATATAAAACAAACATCAAACAAAAAGAATGTGGAAAGTCGCACTTTGAGCTAAAAGCCTGCTAATTCTAGACTTATTGCTGCCTTAAAATACGAGGGGTCTTCAAAGAGGTCATAGAAAATATATATTATTAAAAAAAAAATCTATGCATGGATTTCAAAAATTTTTTACCAAATTAAATTCATACTTGAATCTCATTTATCCACCAATTTCATGAAGTCCTCTCACACATATTAAGTATCTGTCAAATGCTAACCCTGTGATAGGTGCTAAGAAGGAAGTGATAGGAGGCTGTAAAAGAGAAATTGGGTTGGATGGAAAAGGAAGGTTTTGTGCATTTTGCTGAAGTACTTGGACCTGAGCAATGATGGCAAAAACAGGCTTCTAATCTAGTTGGGTAGAGAGTGAATATTAAGGTAACATATAGTTGCATAATGTATTACAACATGCTTTCACATTTATCTTCTCATTTAATGCTCACAGCAACCCTATAAGACCACTAGGAGTAAATGACGTGAAAGTAGGATCTAAATTTATCAAATGGTTTTCCCACTTTGAGCACATAGCATGTGCCAAACATTATGTTAAACGTTTTAGGGAATTATCATTTTTCACACAACAATGCTTTGACTGAGTTACTATTATTACTATCCTCTATTTTAGAAATAAGTAAACTGAGGCGCCTCCATTTAATCTTATCAGAACTTAGCACATACCTGAAAGAATGAAAGAATAATGTCATTCAATGTAGCAAAATGATTGATAGAAGCACTAAGAGCTCTTGAAGGTTACACCAGTGGGGAGATTAGTACAGGTTAGAGCATTCAAATACACTTATTGAGCAACCATTGTATAAACAGTATCCTGCTAGGTACTATGAGCAGTAGACTCAGGTCAAGTATAGAAGACAAACATACAAATAAATAATTACAGTACAGTAAGGAGATTGAGGCTCGAGGTACTCTGACATAGAGCACTACACCTAGGGGAGATTTGTGAAGCTTCATAGAGAAGGTAATGTTTCAGATGGTTCTTGCAGAGTGTAAGGCTGGGAAGAAGGCAAGTCCAATCTAGAAGATGGAAAAGCAGGTGTAGCTGAAAGCACATGACAGCATTGGGAATCAGATGGGTTTGAGGCCAAAATACACAGTATCTGCTTGTTATAAAGAACCAATAATTTTAATATAAAATGGACTCAAAATATACTGGATATTTAAACAGCATGATTAAGAAACCTTATTAAATGGACATTTTAAAAAAGCATCAGTGAGATGTGTGCATTATTTGCAAGAACACATAACATTAAAGAGTGGTTTACATTAAGTCCTAAAGCAAGTTTCAACAGCAAAGATCAGAGAATACAATTTCTATTCTCAATACAGTTGAGGGTGATATCACTTTTATGACAAAAAAAAAAATGTTTCTACATAATCATGGTCCAAAGAAAAAGAGAATTGAATTAGAAAACACTTGAACAATAGTGAAAATGTTATCTAAATCCTGTATGCCAGGACCTGCTCTGAATGACTGCTCTCCACACCATCATGTGCTGGTCAAACCACATCAAGCTCAGAGGCTAAAAATTAGGGGGTTAATTTTTCTACTTAAGAATGATTAAAAAAAAAAACTGGAATACATACAAAGGGAGTTGAAAGAAGGTATAATAAAAATATTTTTTAAATTAATGAAATAAAAGTGAGAGAAAAAATTATCATTAGTTATTTTTAAAGACTAAAGACGATAACAGAAATAAGATGAACTCAATAGAAAGGTTAGAAGATAAACTTAAATAAGTCCCCCTAGGGGACTAAGGAAAGGAAAGGAAAAGATTTTAAAATGAGAGGATCAGTCCAGCAAGTCTAACCTACAAATTTCAGAGTTCAGGAATTTCTAAAGGAGAGAGTGGCTTAAACAGGGAAGGAAAAAATTGCATCCTCAAAATTCAAGAAAATTTCCCGGAAATGAAGAAAACAAGTCTCCAGATAAAAAGGGCTCTGTCCAAGGAAATCGATTGTGAAATTTCCATAAACTGAGGTCAGAAAAAAAAAAAAAAAACCTGTCAGAGAAAAATCAGACTTTATATGAAGAATGAAGACTCAGATTGGTATTGTCATTTCCAATCATACCTAAATAGGGAGAGAGAAGATAACCCCCCACCCGGCAGCTGTGTCCCACAGAAGACACATGCACTTAGCAGAGGGAGAGACAGAAGGAGCAGCATACCAAATGGGCCCACAATCCTTCTCCTTATGCTACAATCCTCATGCACAATCCTCCTCCAGTTCTGTCAGGATTTGAGGTATTTCTACAGCTTGTCTCTACAAATAGGACTATTCTAGGCACTTCATATCTACTAGTCAGAGTTCTCCAGTGAAAAAGAATCAATAGAATGGGCTTTCAGAAAGAGAGAGACAGAGACAGAATACGAAGAATTGGGTCACACAAGTATTGAGGCTGGGAAGCCCGAAGATCTGCAGTTGACAAGCTGAGACCAAGAAGAGCTGATGATGCCAATTCTAAACTAAAAACTGGTAAATGCTAGATCCAAGAAAAAACAACGTTTCAGTTCAAGTCTGGAAGTAAGAGTGATCTCCCAGCTCAATCAGT